TATCGAAATGAGCATTAGTATGATTTGATTTAGTTGCCCGAATATCATTGATACCATGGCAACCATTTAAAAGTTATACATGAAATATTTTTTTATTCAAACTTTCAAGGTCAATTACTCCGTAACCAATTGCAATCGACTTTTTTTTACATGCAGTACTGACATTATTTTCGTGTCTGAGAAACTACGTCAACGCGGTATTTTCTTAATGGTAACCCTATTTTACGAGAGTACTGATTATTGAGGTTCATGAGATATTTTCCAAAAACTTACGGAATTTCTTGTAACCCCCCGTAAAACTATTTTTCCATATCATCTTCTATCAAAGATAAAAATTGATTGTTCGGGAATATTGATTCGGCGGAAAAATCGCAAAGAAGAGGAAACCAGACCAGGTACCAGCGACCGATGGTAAGTTTTTCATTCCTGTTATTCGAGATATAATACCCACTATGTTTTAGATCGAAGAAGCGACGTGTTATAATCGACAAGAAAATTGCACAGAAGGGAAAACCACGCCAGAAACCAGCGACCACTGATGAGTTTTTCATTCTTGTTATTCCAGATATAATACCAACTATGTTTTATATTGAAGAAGCGACGTGTTATAATCGACGAGAAAATTGCACAGAAGGGGAAACCAGACCAGAAACCAGCGACCAGTGATAAGTTTTTCATTCCTGTTACGAATCATATTCAATTCATTCCGAATATTTCTTCCAAATTCAATATTCGTTATGGAAGGCGATATATCATTGAAAATTTTTCGATAGTCACCTGTATGTCTCGATGGAGACACGACAGGTACCCTTACGAGGGGAGAGTATCAACCCTTGGCATCGGTAAACCCTCGTTGCAACCGGGGTAGGTGCCTGATGGGTTAGGTATAAACAGTGTTTCTCATTAACGAGAAAATTGTTGGCTATCTGTTTCGCTCATTTTTTGAGCAATTAAAGAATATGTCGCGTTTCAGCAACGGAATTCCAAAAAAAAAAAGTTTCCATAAATATTTCAGTTTCTTGTTCCATGTAACTTTCATGATTTAAATTTTCAATGTATTTTAAAATCGAGATATAATACCAACTATGTTTTAGATTGAAGAAGCGACGTGTTATAATCGACGAGAAAATTGCACAGAAGGGAAAACCAGGCCAGAAACCAGCGACCGGTGATGAGTTTTTCATTCTTGTTATTCGAGATATAATACCAACTATGTTTTAGATCGAAGAAGCGACGTGTTATAATCGACGAGAAAATTGCACAGAAGGGGAAACCAGACCAGAAACCAGCGATCAGTGATAAGTTTTTCATTCCTGTTACGAATCATATTCAATTCATTCCGAATATTTCTTCCAAATTTAATATTCGTTATGGAAGGCGATATATTATTGAACATTTTTCGATAGTCACCTGTATGTCTCGATGGAGACACGACAGGTACCCTTACGAGGGGAGAGTATCAACCCTTGGCATCGGTAAACCCTCGTTGCAACCGGGGTAGGTGCCTGATGGGTTAGGTATATACAGTGTTTCTCATTAAGGAGAAAATTGTTGGCTATCTGTTTCGCTCATTTTTTGAGCAATTAAAGAATATGTCGCGTTTCAGCAACGGAATTCCAAAAAAAAAGTTTCCATATATATTTCAGTTTCTTGTTCCATGTAACTTTCATGATTCAAATTTTCAATGTATTTTAAATTCGAGATATAATACCAACAATGTTTTAGATCGAAGAAGCGACGTATTATTAATCGGCGGAAAAATTGCACAGAAGAGGAAACCAGACCAGGAACCAGCGACCGATGATAAGTTTTTCATTCATATTATTCGAGATATAATACCCAATATGTTTTAGATCGAAGAAGCGACGTGTTATAATCGACGAGAAAATTGCACAGAAGGGAAAACCACGCCAGAAACCAGCGACCGGTGATGAGTTTTTCATTCTTGTTATTCGAGATATAATACCAACTATGTTTTAGATCGAAGAAGCGACGTGTTATAATCGACGAGAAAATTGCACAGAAGGGGAAACCAGACCAGAAACCAGCGATCAGTGATAAGTTTTTCATTCCTGTTACGAATCATATTCAATTCATTCCGAATATTTCTTCCAAATTTAATATTCGTTATGGAAGGCGATATATTATTGAAAATTTTTCGATAGTCACCTGTATGTCTCGATGGAGACACGACAGGTACCCTTACGAGGGGAGAGTATCAACCCTTGGCATCGGTAAACCCTCGTTGCAACCGGGGTAGGTGCCTGATGGGTTAGGTATATACAGTGTTTCTCATTAAGGAGAAAATTGTTGGCTGTTCCGCTCATTTTTTGAGCAATTAAAGAATATGTCGCGTTTCAGCAACGGAATTCCAAAAAAAAAGTTTCCATATATATTTCAGTTTCTTGTTCCATGTAACTTTCATGAATCAAATTTTCAATTTAAATTCGAGATATAATACCAACAATGTTTTAGATCGAAGAAGCGACGTGTTATAATCGACGAGAAAATTGCACAGAAGGGAAAACCACGCCAGAAACCAGCGACCGGTGATGAGTTTTTCATTCTTGTTATTCGAGATATAATACCAACTATGTTTTAGATCGAAGAAGCGACGTATTATTAATCAACGGAAAAATTGCACAGCAGAGGAAACAAGACCAGAAACCAGCGATCGGTGATGAGTTTTTCATTCTTGTTACGAATCATATTCAATTAATTCCCAATATTTCTTCCAAATTTGATGTTCGTTATGGAAGGCGGGCGATATATTATTGAAAATTTTTCGATAGTCACCTGTATGTCTCGATGGAGACACGACAGGTACCCTTACGAGAGGAGAGTAGCAACCCTTGGCATCGGTAAACCCTCGTTGCAACCGGGGTAGGTGCCTGATGGGTTAGGTATATACAGTGTTTCTCATTAAGGAGAAAATTGTTGGCTATCTGTTTCGCTCGTTTTTTGAGCAATAAAAGAATATGTCGCGTTTCAGCAACGGAATTCCAGAAAAAAGTTTCCATATATATTTCAGTTTCTTGTTCCATGTAACTTTCATGATTCAAATTTTCTATGTATTTTAAAAATTCGAGATATAATACCAACTATGTTTTAGATCGTGTTATAATCGACAAGAAAATTGCACCAAAGGGAAAACCACGCCAGAAACCAGCGACCGGTGAATAGTTTTTCATTCTTGTTATTCGAGATAAAATACCAACCATGTTTTAGATCGAAGAAGCGGCGTGTTATAATGGACGAGAAAATTGCACAGAAGGGGAGACCAGACCAGAAACCAGCGATCAGTGATATTGTTGGCTATCTGTTTCGCTCATTTTTTGAGCAATTAAAGAATATGTCGCGTTTCAGCAACGGAATTCCGAAATAAAAGTTTCCATATATATTTCAGTTTCTTGTTCCATGTAACTTTCATGATTCAAATTTTCTATGTATTTTAAATTCGAGATATAAAACCAACTATGTTTTAGATCGAAGAAGCGACGAATTATTAATCGGCGGAAAAATTGCACAAAAGGGGAAACCAGAACAGGAACCAGCGACCGGTGATGAGTTTTTCATTCTTGTTATTCGAGATATAATACCAACTATGTTTCAGATCGAAGAAGCGACGTGTTATAATCGACGAGAAAATTGCACAGAAGGGAAATCCAGGCCAGAAACCAGCGACCGGTGATGAGTTTTTCATTCTTGTTATTCGAGATATAATACCAACTATGTTTTAGATCGAAGAAGCGACGTGTTATAATGGACGAGAAAATTGCACAGAAGGGAAAACCAGATCAGAAACCAGCGATCAGTGATAAGTTTTTTATTCCTGTTACGAATCATATTCAATACATTCCGAATATTTCTTCCAAATTTAATATTCGTTATGGAAGGCGATATATTATTGAAAATTTTTCGATAGTCACCTGTATGTCTCGATGGAGACACGACAGGTACCCTTACGAGGGGAGAGTATCAACCCTTGGCATCGGTAAACCCTCGTTGCAACCGGGGTAGGTGCCTGATGGGTTAGGTATAAACAGTGTTTCTCATTAACGAGAAAATTGTTGGCTGTCTGTTTCGCTCATTTTTTGAGCAATTAAAGAATATGTCGCGTTTCAGCAACGGAATTCCAAAAAAAAAAGTTTCCATATATATTTCAGTTTCTTGTTCCATGTAACTTTCATGATTCAAATTTTCTATGTATTTTAAATTCGAGATATAATACCAACTATGTTTTAGATCGAAGAAGCGACGAATTATTAATCGGCGGAAAAATTGCACAAAAGGGGAAACCAGACCAGGAACCAGCGACCGGTGATAAGTTTTTCATTCTTGTTATTCGAGATATAATACCAACTATGTTTTAGATGGAAGAAGTGACGTGTTATAATCGACGAGAAAATTGCACAGAAGGGAAAACCAGGCCAGAAACCAGCGACCGGTGATGAGTTTTTCATTCTGGTTATTCGAGATAAAATACCAACTATGTTTTAGATCGAAGAAGCGACGTGTTATAATCGACGAGAAAATTGCAAAGTGAGGGAAAACCAGGCCAGAAACCAGCTACTTTGAAATGCAGTTGATTATGACCCAGGTGATCAATCAAAGATCAAAAGACCGAGATTGTCCATAAACTAGATAAAATATCGACATTATGACCAAATTTACTATTCTCAAGTTTTTGATATTTATTCCGTTTGATCTTTTTCAATTCTCAGAATGAATTTCTGAAACTTATTTGGGACAGAAGGGCTGTTCGCATCAAACTTCAATACCGTTTTCATTTTGTTTCATAAGAGATATCAGGATAAGAGAGACTCTTCCCTGGTCTGAATCAAATAAAAGAAATATCCAATACTGTGTGACACAGGCTGAAGGACCTTGGTCGGTAGCCAATTGGGTATCCAATAAAGCTCCTTAATTATTATTATTTGAGAACATTCACATTTATTTACAGTGTAAATAATCAAAGCTTGAAGAAAAAATGTCCTCACCTGGTTGTCTCCGCGCTTGTACAGCTTGATGGTAGGGAAACTCGTGACCTTGGTGTGCTCCAGCTCGTTGACGGTGGCGTCCATCTTGGCGACGACCACTTCCGCGTTATCGGCGAAGTGCTCGCCCACCTTGTCGTAGATGGGCACCAGCTGTTTGCAGTGGCCGCACCAAGGGGCGTAGAACTCCACGAGGACGTCTTTGTCAGCGTCCAAGGCCACCTTTACAAAAGGCAAATTTTCAACAGGAATATTTTCAATTATTTTTTGTATGTCACGAATGGTTTAAATCTTTTATAGGTGATAGGAAACAATTCGTGAAATCAAATGGGAGTCTGTCTGACATCAGGGATAGGACATGGGGAGTCCCACAGGGATCTGTCCTAGGTCCAATTCTCTTCCTTTTATATTTAAATGACCTGGCCACTGTTCCCATTCAGGGAAGATTCACCATGTTTGCTGATGATACTACCCTACTATGGCACGGAAAAAATTGTGACAACATAAGAAATAATATTGCTAGAGACTTGGGAACGGTTCAGCAATGGTGGGAAGCTAATTATCTGTGTTTTAATCACAAAAAACAAATATAATGGGCTTTAGTTTTGACTGCAACAATTTGAGCTTAAACGAGAAATTCTAGATAACAAAAAGTATACAAAATTCCTAGGAATAACTTTAGACGAGAAATTGAAATTTGATCAGCATGTTGCAGCTTTAACTAAAAAATTGGCGTCCAGATGTTATGCTCTCAGAATTGTCACTAATGAATATTGAGGTCATCTACAGCAAAGATGGTCTATCACTCTCTAATTGAATCTCATATGAGATATGGAATAGCTTTCTGGGGATATTGCAGCCAACAACTTTTTCACTCAGTGTTTGTACTGCAGAAACGTGCTATAAGGTACTTAGGCAAGGTAGATATTCGAGAGTCATGCAGACCACTGTTTTCAAACTTAGGAATCCTCACTCTGACAAGTTTATTCATATTGGAAATGGTATGTCTGATTCACAAAAAGTATATGGCTGAGACTACAGTACAAACAAATCATGTGACCCGACAAATAACAGAGAGGAAAATTACTCTACCCATTCCAAAATCCAGTTTGACAAAATTTTCTTTGTTATTTGAAAGTAAAAAGATTTATAACCATATACCCACTGAACTAAGAACTATAAAAGATCCTAATAAATTTAGAGAACTGGTGAAAGATGCCTTTTTGAAAAGAGACTACTATAATATTGAGGAATTTCACAATGAAACTCTGTTATGACCTCAACATGTACTTAGGAAGTTACGTTGACAATGTAGTTTCTATGGGCTGACTTCTTCTCTTGTATTTGTGTGAACTCTAGGCATCACTATGTGGCCAGGAAAAAAAATTGGGTTTGTATAAAATTTCCATCATTATTAGGAATACTAGGATATTTCAATTGGTACTGAAGCATTTTATTGCAAGTATTCAAAAAGTGATTAGCGACCCGACCAGGTCCAACTATTGTCTTATGTGAATGTGAATACTATTGTCATCAGTCATCCCAACGCCCTGTGGCACAAGTGAGTCATTAAACTTGGCCGCATGTTTTGGATTGAAGTCTGATCCCTTCTTAACACAATGGTTCTTGATTCTCGACAATATTCAACAGCAAATAATCACTTTCCTGGCTATATGCCACGACAAACATTGAATTGAACACACACAAGAAAAATTTGAAAATAAAAATCTTCCAATAATTTTCAATAAAAATTGCATATCCTGTTACATGAACAAATCAAATCGCAACTAATTAGCTTGAAAACCAAGATTATCGTCGTTACCTGTTCGAAGTTGCTGGCGACCAATACTTTCACAGCCTCCTTGTCCCAATCTTCGGGCAGGTCTTGGCTCAACAGGTGCTGCTTCAATTTGCCGTCCAAAAAGTCCTGTACGAATTGACGCAAATTGTCGGCGGTCAAGTCGGTCGATTCGGGCTTGTATTTGGCCATGTCCTCTTCCAACCTTAACAAACAGCAAAAAAAAAACGATCAGAATAGGCTCTATGTCATTGATTATACTTCATTCACGTGAAAGTTTATTTAAAAGCCACCATGAATAAACCTCAGATTTAATAACAAGATATTGAGAGTTAACTATGAGGAATAAACATTATTAAATATAAACTGTAGACAAACAATTAACAAAAAGCTACCTGATAAGTCTGGCAGCAGGCACCTCTTTCTTGCTCATCCCGAAGAACTCCAAGATCCTCTGGTGGTCCTCGTCGTCAGCGTCGATAGTGACGAATAGCACTCGTTCCCTGAACGGCTTCGCCACGGATCGAGCAGCCTCGGAGACGGTCGCGAACGAATCGTCGGACTTGCTGAGGAACAGCAGCAGGTGGCTCTTGATCTCGCCCCCGAAGACTTTTTGGGCGGTGTCGTGGTTGAATTCGACCAGGAGAGGAAGCGCGTTGGATTGGACGAATTTGCGGATGGCCGCCGCGTCGGGTTCGCCTTCATAGAGGACTTTGCCTTCGTCAAACTAATAAAATATAAATAAATGTGTGTTTGGTGATGGTGGCTGTTTATCTTCAGGGAATTTGGAAGAGGTGAATAGGAATCCGGAGTAATTGAAAGAAAAATAATAATACTTAGGAAACTGCCATAATACAAGGAAATTGATGGGGATAGAGAGAAATTGGAAACTAATTGAAGGTCATTGGAAAATTTGAGAGAATGAATAGAAATCAAAGAAATTGAGAAGATCTGAACTAAAACTTGAAGGATAATGGCTGTTCATCATCAGGAAATTTGGAAGAAGTGAATAGGAATCGGAGTGATTGAAAGAAAATTAATGATAATAAGAAAACTGTTGGAATAGAAGAAAATTGAGGAAGATGGAGAGGAATTAGAGAAACATTGAAGAAAATTCGAAAATTAAAGAGGAAATGAGATGGAATCAAAGAAATTGAGAGGAAGTGAATGAAAACTTGTAGGAAACAATAGGTATTGAAGTGAATGAATAAGAATTAGACACCTTGAGAGGAAATAAATAGAAATCAGAGAAATCGAGAGGAAATGAATATGAACCATAGGAAGTCAAAGGAAATGAATGAGAATTTGAGGAGAATAAAAAGTGTAACAAATGCAAACATGGAAAAATTAGCGTCATATATTTTTTCATCATACAATACAAATTTGTTCATTGCACTGTTTCAGGTAGTGTTGTCTGCTTGGGTAATACTGTGAAAAACATCGAAATCTATTTGACCAGTGACCTAAGCAGACTTAATTCTGTAGGCCCCACTTTGACTATGTCATGTTATTTTGAAACCATGCACAGCTTCGATGAGGCCACTACAAATTCATTTCCAGATACTAAAAGTTAAATCCTTATGGAGTAGGTGTATTACCTACACACAGATATACGATTCTGGTAGAAAACATTAGATCAACAATTCTACTCCTGATGTCAAGAACCAATCATAATCATTTGATTTTATCTATTTCATATATTGTTACATCAAATAAATCAACATCAGTGGACATTTATAATACCAAATTTCTACTAATAAATAAGTTTGCAGTCTCAAAAATTCTGGATTCAAACTTTTTTCTCATCAACTAGCAATCAATAAAGAACTCACCTTTTTGAACAAGACAATGGAGCCACAAGTGGCTTCATACTCCCCATAAACCCCATCGTCGGAGGTGATAGCGAAGGGGATGTCATCGATGCCGGCGGCCACGTCCAAGAAGGCCTTGGCCGCTTCGGAGGTCTGGTCCTTGAAGAAACCCACCACCACCACGTTGTTGGCAGAGATCAATTCTTGGGCAGCCTCTACTGAAGCGAGGTCTCTCGCGGGGGGGCCTGTTTTCTTCAGCAGCCAAGCGACGATGTCGTCGGCTTGTCGACCGCCTTCAAAGAGAAGAAGATAACTCGTTCGTTCATGAACGTTAAAATTAATGAGAAGAAGAAAGTACAGGTTAAGTGTGGAGCTAGACTAGAAAATAGTTCAGACATTTTTTGCCAGTTGTTGGCAGCAGTTACTGTCAAGTTGAGTGTCATTTGTCGAATGCATTGTCATGTGTCCATGTCAGTTATAGTCAGTGTTGCCACCTCCAGAGGTTTATCCCTTTTTGAGGGATTTTTGAGGTCCTTGAGGGATATTTAAGGGTATAACATTGGATGTTATGCAACAGTTCTTGGTACTTAGATTTGTATTATTGAACGTCGAGGTGCGAATACTTTTTTATTGCAGGAATAATTGATTGACAACATCAAAACAATAAATCATATAAAATGATATCTCAAATATGCTCGCTTCTATGGAAACACTGAATTCTTCAATACCTGTGACAGTCTAAAGAGTTCGTGGGTACTTAGATTGGTATTATTGAACGACGAGGTGCGAATACTATTTCATTTTAGGAATAATTTATTGACAACTTCAAAACAATAAATTATTCCTAAAATAAAAAGTATTCGCACCTCGTCGTTCAATAAGTACCCACGAACTCTTCAACATAACATCCAATGTTATATTGGCGCCCAACGTGGGGCACCAAAATAACATTGGATGTTATGTTAAACAGTTCTTGGTACTTAGATTGGTATTATTGAACGACGGGGTGCGAATACTTTTTTTATTTCAGGAATAATTGATTGACAACTTCAAAACAATAAATTATATCAAGTGTCTAAAATATGCTCGCTTCTATGAAAACACTAAATTCTTCAATACCTAGTGTGAGAGGCATTTAGTGATGAGAGGGTTGTCCTAAGGCCGGTTTTAGGTAATGGGTTGTGACAAGGGATATTTTATTCACATTACCCATCATGGTTAAAGCTGATAATCCCATTTAATTGTGTTTAACCATGACGTCATTTCCGTTAGGGTACACCTCCCCTACCTGTCCTTGGGTTTACCAACTCAAACATTGGTACAGGTATCCTTGTACAGGTGGTTAATGTAAAAGTAATGATCCATCCTTGTTAGAGTTGAAGATTTGTTTAGGGAGTGAAAGATGAAGGATATAATGGAAACACTGAAATTACAAATCACAGGCAAATAGTAAAGATTTTTTAGGTAATTTCATGTTTTCAGATGACGAGCTCCTTGAACAATATGTTTTGTATCCATATACAGAGAGGAGAACCTATACCATTCTTTGCTATATGGCTCCAACTATCTCTCCTCATTCGAAACATGTGATAGAAATCTGATTCTAGGTAATGATAATCTATCCAGATTTCCAAGAAATGAGGATTCCTGAAATGATACCTCCTAGTGCAGTGATTGTGGCGATACTCTGATGATTCGATCTCTTTTATTAAATGAAGTAATCTGTATTTCTCCTAACAAAACAGAGGTCAAATCTTCCATCATGACAACATGGTTACACAATCATGTTGCACACAACTTATTTTTTTTATTTCTTATTTTTATAGGCATGGTCAATTAGGTTTACACAATAACAATAAAACAGATAAAACAAATATTTTTCTTTCCGATTCAAAATGAAAGAACCTGAGGTTATAACTGGGTAAAGTGAAGGAAATAGGAATTCAATGAAAATTGTTAATGTTTACATCATTATGACGTAGCTGCCTCCCACCATCTTCACCAAAACACTGTAATCGGGTTCAACCAACGGGTAATGTGAATGACATATCCCTTTAGTTTGTTTGGAGGGATTTATTCACCTGCATAAAACTCAGAAGTCTGAAATGAAGTCAGCATCATTTAGCCATGAAAAACGTAACATGGGAGGTTTTTTCAGTGCGCCACCTAGTAACTCACTACACGTGGGATTTACATGGAAATCAGACGGCCTTTTGGTGATTTCATACTCGCAGGGCAACATTTTTTCAGCATAGGCCATTGGCTTTCTTCTTAGTCTGCTAAATCTTTCTGTTTGTTGTGAAATTGCATATATTTATTCTGGTGATATTCAAATGCTACATTATCGAAGAATCTTCTGATTCAGAACATTCGGAGCCCCGAAGAAGAAAAATATATAAAATTGCTACCAATGTTTTCTAAGAAGTTTGGCTGCAGGGCAGATGTGGCTTAATTTAAAGGTTTGGAGGGATCTTTGCTGGAAATATACGGGACATTTCATGCCTATTAGCGGGACTATTTGTTGAACACAGGGGGCAAAACTGTTTATAATCAGTTTGACAAAGGAAGGGTCCTAGAAGGTGTTCTTGCTATCAATTTCAATAACTAACAATTCAACAGTTGTGGATCTTATAAAAATACAATATTTTCAACAGTGACGCCGATTTTATTCATATTCAACATTTGACACCTCTGTAGCCAACCTCACAATATGAAATGTCTACTTTTTGAAAATATGGTCAATGAGGGCTACTGAGACATGATGTCAGAGTAGGTAAAGCTGACAGGAATACTTATTCTCCTTGTTTCATTTGGCTTCTTCCTGAGATGTCATGTGCAAAAGTTTCATATAGAGAGCTGAAAACCAGAGACTGATCAAGTCCAATAATTGCTTGACCTTGCTTGAGATCTTTCATTTGTTCACATAGGACACATAATTTTTTCATAAAATTTTCGAAAAAATAGTCCTCAGGACTGAGGTGAACCAGTGATACTGAAAATTTTAGCCATCATTCAACAAATTACTGGCCTTGAGGGGACAATCTTCACCACTCTAGGACTCTGTGGAAAGAGCTTTCTTCTCTTCATGGACTTCAGTTGCTGATTCTCAGATTTTGTTTGAAATCTTTCATACAATGCTAATTTTTTCATGAAATTTTTAATAATATCAAGCCATTATTGACTTTAAATAAATCAGAGCATTTTCTATAAAATGGAATTATATTTTGCAAATATATACTCAGACATCTCAATGCTCTTTCAGCTGAATTTATAAATTTTTTAGAAATGCCTGAAGAATATGGATTTAATAAGAGAACACACTATCAAATGGGTCACAATGAATCTACATCTACTTCTGCAGATTTGAAGTACCCATGAAGAAAGCATCCCATAAGTATGAAAACTTACTGGAAATCTTGAAATTTGAAAAAGGTACAGAATGAAAAATTACCAATCCATCATTACTGAAAAATATACAGACTCCAATAATTGTGTTTACTGAAAATATCCCAATATCTAGTGAATTCAAGGAATGCTGTGTTCCAGATTAATCCTGATAAAATAAAGTCCTGAAATAACTTTTTATGTTACTTTCCATACTCACTATGTTGATGGTATGCAAGATATCTTTGAAATGGAATTTATTGTAGTGCTTGAATAAGTATGTGGAAGTTTTGGAATAATTTCTTATGAATAATTTTGCATAAATTTGGTGTAACATGAAGTTATAATTCAAGCTAAATATGCACTTGGTTGACTATTAATGAATCTTGATAAAAAACTCAAAATATATGTGTCCTAACTTTAAACTTGCAATGTTTGTTTTAATATTTGAATAATAATTAAAAATATAAGTACCAATCATTAAAAGGTTTTTCTACCTACTACTGATAATCCTGTAGATAAATAAGCTAATTACAAAATTGATATCTTTCAAAGTATATTTTAATTACTTTTTAATGAATGTGACAATACCAGGAATGAATTCACATTCAAGTCAATTCATCAACTGTAATTTTCAGAGGTACTTACCAGCATATTCACTAGGGCTTCCATTCCTGAAGAACTTTAGAGTGGGGTAGCCCCTCACTGAGTACTCTTCAGCCAATTCTTGTTCTTCTGTAGCATCAACTTTGCCAAGTTTGATGGCAGATCCTTGATCAGCTAACTGTTGTGCAGCTTTAGCATATTCTGGTGCCAAGGCTTTGCAATGTCCACACCATGGAGCATCTATGAACATAATAAATGTTGATTTTAGAGCTAAGGTTCAGTAAATTTGTCATGAACATGCTTCTGAGAATAAGAGTAAAGAGTAATGTTTTTTGTTTGAAAATGATGAATCAGTGAAAGATAGTTCCAATGAGGTTCCAAGTTCTTAGATGCTTTTTTTATAGATTGCTGTACTTATTTTTTGTTTCAATAATTCAGCCTATTCACCTATGCTCTGCTTGGAGAGGAATGTTATCAGAAATAACCTTCAACATTGTTCATGTAGGTGAAGTACTGATAGTACTAAATTGTACATACCAATCATATAAATTCAATATTGTTATTTTTTGTGGGATGGGCATTATGGATCTAGCTCACATTTTTCATAGAAATTTAGAACAAAAAACGGAGGGTACTCACAGAATTCGACCAATATGAATTCGTTGTCCGAAATAGCAGACTTGAAGTTGTCCTTATTGAGCACCAGTACTCCCTCATCGGAAGTGATGTCTGCAGAAAAAACGCTGCTCAGAGCGCAAAAAATAAAAATAAAACCGCTCGACCTGAACATGTCAAAGGCGAGACGAAAAACGTGTACTGAAAAATTAAAATAAAATCAAACCGATATCATTTACAACGTGGCACTCTTTCCAGAAGGAACCCTGGTGACTTGACTGGCGCACTGAACTACTACCCGTGGAAAGAAGATTGTATTGGAAGATGCCGGATGATCTCTCCTCCGGTTGATGTTGATTACGTGCTTATTTTTGATGACAAAGCATTGATCACTTCGTGTGGGATTGCGATTGGTAGAAGGTAGAACGAAATTTTTCTGGTGACGTCTATCAGTCATTGACATTGACCTCTCACGTCACACATCTTCTCATTCTTCTTTTCTTCTTCTTCTTCTACGTTTCTTGGCCTCTTGTCCAGATTGGACATCCAGCCAATTCTTCTTCTCTAAAATTGGCACCTTGCCCAGTGTTGAAATGCCAATAGTCTTATACCACAAAATCTTCTTGCTCGAATAGTATTTAGCCAAACGTCATTCTCTTCTCACATGATGAATGTTGATATCATTATATAATCTCAGGTTTATGATGATGAGGTATCAGAAAAATCTTGCACAGTGCAGTACTGGTAACAAGAATGTTTAGTCAAGATGTCAAGAAGATAACCTTAAAATTTGAATGACAATCATATGACAGTGACAACAAACGTCAGAAGTTGTCACTTCGTCATTTTCATTTTTCAGTATGCACTGTGCTTTTCGATTTGTTGTGATGTGAATTTTGATAAGTAGATTTTAGATTATTATTGCGAAGTATTCAAGTAGACCAATATGTCTTTCCTATCCAATGCCCTCATTGGAAATCCCTTCTCAACTCCGGTTGGAAGTAGGATAGGTAAGTTCTTCCACAAAACATTGATAAGATACGAAAAATTGTGATAGTGAAATACCAATACATCACCGATTTCAACCTACAGTTTTCTAATCAGCAGGTAGGTAGTCTCAATTTTACCTTGTATTTACTTTTAGCTTTGATCTTATCTTGTTTTTATGATCTATTTTGGTAAATTATGATAAATACCAATTTTCCACATCATGTTAATGTTCAGTAACGTTCAGGATACCTAGTTGAATAAATACTCAATGATCAATTATTACCTTTAATTGCTTGTTTGTCTGTCGTTTATTGTCATTGTGAAACCTTCAAAATGTACTGAGTCACCGAAATATCAACTACCCAGTTAGGTGTGAAGTTAATAAAGAAGATATTTTATATTTTTTGTACCTATACCTATATTTGCAAGGAAGCCAAATAGTTTCACTTCAAAAAACTTCAATGTTTCCATCATTACAATACAATCATAACAAATAGTATGAAATCATTCATAAAATCGAATAACTTTCTAAATTGATGTTGTCACTAGCATAATTATGTTAATCAAAAACCAAAAAGTACAACACATGAACTTTTGGAATTTTGTCCAACAGCTAGCATTTTCCTGAAACAAATGATCGGTTTCATCTTGTGTTGAGTTTGATCTACTGTTTTCCTCCACTCTATGATTTGAAATTACTGATGATGATGGTTCTAGAGGTTCAGTTGTCAATGCACTAGATTTGGTAACTCTGTTATTGGTAAAGTCTATGCCTTCTTTTTTTCTTACTTCAAATTCAGGAATATTTTGTCCAGAAGGTCCAGCTGAATCTTGTAGGATTTTGAAGATGTTGTGGAATTCATTGTCTATATTGTTGAATTCATTGTCTATATTGTCATTTTTCCGGTTTGTGTCAGGGTTCCTAGATATTTCCTTATGTTTTTCTTTTATTCTTGAAGGTTGTGGAATGCTGAGTGAGTCTGGACTCAAATTTGATTTTCTAGAAAGTTTGGTAGAAAATGTGTCTGGTTGTACCACAGAACCTACTACTGAAGTATAAGTCCTCTGTTGAGATATAGGTTTACAAGTAATAGTTTTATAGTTTTCATCAATGGGAATATTTTTATTGTGTACCCATTTGTTCTGTTTGGATACCTCCTCAAAATTACTGAAAATTTCAAGACCATCCACAATATCATTATTTTTTCTATTACTGATTGTATATATGTTGTTTTTTTCTGGACTCTGTTCTGAAGATACTTGTTCTGATATTGATATCTTACTTTTATTGTTTGACAGATTTTGGTATGGTAGTTTTGTATTATTCACATTATTTTTTCTCTTTGCTTTTTTAATGTAGTGTTTATGAGCATGTTTATCATTGTTTCTATTCGATTTCGGTAAATTGTCAACTTTCTCAATCACCAGCAAATATTTAGGATCTACTAGGATAGGTTCGGGTTTGTACTTGTAATATTCTTCATCAAAATCGCTTAATCCACCACTATCACTTGAATTAGCAGAATCATCATGGAGACCATGTATTTTAAGAGCATACTTGTCAAGTTCTACTTCTATTTTCGTTTTTTTCACTGAATTATCTGCAGTTGGTTCAGCACTGGTCAAGTATTCATTGGAGTGAGAATTTGAGTTGTAGAACTGTCGGGATTTCACATTGGAAGAAAAATTTGAGTTGTAGAACTCCCGGGGTTTTCCCGATTTTACAAGGACTTTTCTTTTGGTTCCATGTGGATTATTGTTATCCATGTTGCTCAAGAATTCTGGATAATCAGACAGACAACCTGGAAAAGGATAAGTTGATATTCTTGAGGAATTTTGATATTTAACTACTTATACAGGGTGAGTCATAACTATTGGGACATAGGCTACGGGCGGATTGTTTGGACCAAAATATGGTGATAGGGCCAAGTATGCCTTAATAAATTATCGCTGTGAAAAAAGATACAAGGCGTTTCAATCGAGAAAGTATTTATTTATTTATTTAATACATAGGTTACCCAACAGATTATTGAAACTTACACATTTTACATTGACTATAAACTCACACCAAGATTTATTCACTAACAAGAAATGTAATTCACCAGCATCAATTATCTGACAGACCAAAGCACACTATTCAGTCTTCATAAAAGAAATAATATTTGAAATCCCCTTCCCAGACTTTGAACTGTTCAATAGCGTTTTCTCGTGTGGTGGAATCACTCTGTATTTCGTCGACTCGTTGTTGTGATCTTGTGTTGTCTTTTTTATGTCCAAAAGTCATTAGTTGCAGAATACTTATGTCATGTGTATGCCAAGTTTTTCTGCTTAATAAATTGTAAAGATTACCTTCCGAAACATTGAATATGGATTTTAAAGGCCCTTTACCATCATGTACCCGAAATATTTATCTTTTAACGATAATTGATGAATTCTCGAGGTTTCCATGCGCTGATACATCATCCAGTACAGTTATAGCTTGTTTGAGCCAATTATTTTCAATCTTTGGTATGCCGTCATACTTACATACATACCAAGGACCTTGTTTCATGTCCAAGGAACTGAAATAATTTCTTTATGACAGAGGAGTTGCGACAAGCCGTAGTACTCCGTACAACCCAGAAGGTAACGGTCAAATAGAACGCTACAATGGTATAATTTGGAAGACTATATCCTTAGCATTGAAAACAAAAGGTCTTAGAATAGATCAATGGGAGAAAGTATTACACGAAGCCCTACATTCCATACGATCATTACTTTGTACTGCGATCAATTGTACTCCACACGAAAGAATGTTTAATCATACGAGAAAATCATCGTTTGGACCAGCACTACCTAGTTGGCTTTCTGAACCAGGACCAGTTTTAATCAGGAAACATGTGAGGAAAAATAAATATGAACCACTTGTAGAGGAAGCGGAACTTATCGATGCGAACCCTGAGTATGCCCTAGTACGTGAAACGAACGTATCCATAAAACATTTGGCTCCTCGGGGAAATCAACAATTATTATTTCGCGAAACTCAAACTGTCCAACGACAAACGGAAGAAATAGAACCTGATTTACCAACTCGAAGCAATATGATAGACGATCAAACAAGCATTCCAGACGAACCAAATCTGATGAATCCAACTCAAACTGAAAATCCTGTTGAAGAGAGAAATTCAGGTGAAGGCAGAGCTACTAGAATTCGTCGAAGGCCCAGATATTTAGAAGACTATGTTTCGAAATAATACTGGGGGAAAATGTGGTGAAATCACTCTGTATTTCGTCGACTCGTTGTTGTGATCTTGTGTTGTCTTTTTATGTCCAAAAGTCATTAGTTGCAGAATACTTATGTTATATGTATGTATGCCAAGTTTTTCTGCTTAATAAAACCTAGTTTCGGAAGGTAATCTTTACATCTCGAAAACGGATGAAAATATCGGTTTTTAAAAAGAGTAGAAATGATATTTGTCATATTTCCTGATCAAAATCACTATTAATACATTAAATAATATTCCCTGTATGAAATCATGCCTCTGTGGCAATTTTGAGAACAGTTGAGAAATATACAGTGAAATTATTAGCAAAAAATATTACATTTTAACGCCCTGTATCTTTTTCCACAGCAATATTTTATCAAGGCATATTCGGTCCTATCGCCATGTCCCAATAGTTATGACTCACCCTGTATTTATATTTTGTAGGTTGAGGTAGTGCCTGATTCAAAATTTTATTTGGACTTCACATTTCACATTGACAGATTTGTAGATAGTTTCACTAAAATCAATATGAACATTAAGATGAAACCTGAAATAATGGTCCAATCAGCAGATAAGAAGAGATAAGATATTTGTATATTGTTATCGGAAATTGTGAATAATAGGAAATTATTTGCTGGGATGCAATTTCATACAATAAACCTCGCAATAAACTGAAAAGTCAACAATAATAATATAATAATACTCACTGTTGAGACCTCCCTATATCTCACAATGTTTGTTCACATATTTCACATCTATATGACACAACTCACAAGTGCCAGCAAGTGCATCTACTTCTACTACTACTTTCTACTTGTTGTTGTTGCCTCAGTATATTATGATGTGATGGAAATTGACCCTTAGCGTTATCAGGTAGTTGGGATTGCTCGAGGTCTATGGCATCGAATAATTCTTTTTCGATGTCTATGGACACAGTAGAGACTGTGCTATGGACACATGGACATTAGGCAGCTTTTCTGATGAGTAATGAAGAATTGTATTTATACATCAGCGCATTGTTCGACATTTCTCGAGGTGGCTAGCGATGAAATAAGAAATAATAGCCTAGTATATTATGATGTGATGGAAATTTACCCTTTAGCGTTAGCAGGTAGTTGGGATGGGTCGAGCAGGAAACTGTGTTTATGGCATGAAATAATTGTTTTTCGATGTCTATGGACACGTGGACTCGTGGACATTAAGCAGCTTTTGTGATTGATAAGTAATGAAGAGTTGCATGTAGATATCTGTGGTATACAGGGTGATTCATTAAGAATGGGATATTTTCTCTAGAAAGGCGGCATTGTAATGCCTGGCACCACCATCCCCACCAAGCCCACCATATCTATGCTCGGTATTTCCATCAGCAACACTCTTTCATGGGATAATCATGTCAGATCCATCGCGAAAGCTGCTTTACAAAAACTCGGATTCTTGTTCCGTGCGAAAAGCTACTTTACACCTCAACAGCTTCTCATGATCTACAAAGCGCAGATACGGCCTGTTCTAGAATACTGTTCCCACATATGGGGTTCAGCACCAAAACATTCGCTGATGCTCTTAGATTCCATCCAGAGAAGAGCCATCCGCCTGGTGGGTGACGCCACACTCACTCACTCTTTGACATCATTGGAACACCGTAGGAAGGTCGGCGACCTTTCACTTTTCTATCGATACTTCCACGGGAAATGTTCTTCGGAAATCTCTACTATCATCCCTTCACTAGCAATACCAGTCAGACGAACTAGACAAGCCCAGTCAGTCGCTCAGTCAGCACATCCTTTCGTTGTCAACCTCGAAAGATGTCGAACAGCACTTTATCAAAACTCCTTCATCCATAGAACGGCTAGGCTCTGGAATTCATTGCCTGAGGAAGTATTCCCAACAACATATAATCTCTAGAAGTTCAAAAACAATTCCAATACCTACCTCCTATCCCTATCCTCCTTAGGAACGCACGATGTTATTCGAACATTATAGGGATTCCCTTTCGTGCGCTCCAAGCGATAAAAAAAGGGAAATCTCTGAACTACAGATAGTAAACACAAACATAATGAGATTTAGCCCAATATGCCTAATGAGAATGTTGCTGGTTTAGGAGATACAGGGTGTTCTAGGGGGAGATTTCATTTCAAAATTAAACAATTACAAAAAATATCATAAATTAAGTGTATTACTATTCAATCAGCGGGTATTGGTATAATATATTATATTAGTTGAGTGAGTGTATTGTGCTTTCATCATGGACTGACAGCTGCGATGTGTTAGGGTTATTTGAAAATTCGTTTTATTTTTTGTACCGAAAGTGCGTAAATAAACTATTATCACAGGGTTTTCTTGAATTAGAAGTTCATATTGTTCGTGAATTCACCATTGAAAGTCGAAAATATGACGCACCTTTTCCATTTGAACAAAAAAATTGTGAAAATGAAATTATGAACTCAGATGAATGTGTCATAATGCCTGTAAATTTGGTGTAAAACTTCGGAAAGCAAGATTCTCTCACGCCACGCTATTTTTACAAAGTAGGCGGTATCGAGAGATTTCGAAACTCCTTTCAATAGGAAGTGATTACACCATTTGACTTATTTCTATACATCTATCTTGTCAAAATAAGACCACAACGTGATCGATCAAATGTCATCATTTCAAATACAAAATAGGGAATGAAACAAATGCATGAACATTGTTTTCATTTTTTTACGCGAAAACGGTTTGGTGTTAAACTTCGGAAAGCAAGATTCTCTCACGCCACGCTATTTTTACAAAGTAGGCGGTATCGAGAGATTTCGAAACTCCTTTCAATAGGAAGTGATTACACCATTTGACTTTCTATACATCTATCTTGTCAAAATAAGACCACAACGTGATCGATCAAATGTCATTATTTCAAATACAAAATAGGGAATTAGCCTACTAGTTCAAAATAATTTCGTTATGAAACAAATGCATGAAAATTGTTTTTATTTTTTTACGCGAAAACGGTTTGGTGTAAAACTTCGGAAAGCAAGATTCTTTCACGCCACACTATTTTTACAAAGTTGGCGGTATCGAGAGATTTCGAAACTCCTTTCAATAGGAAGTGATTACACCATTTGACTTTCTATACATCTATCTTGTCAGAATAAGACCACAACGTGATCGATCAAATGTCATTATTTCAAATACAAAATAGGGCATTAGCCTACTAGTTCAAAATAATTTAGTTATGACACAAATGCATGAAAATTGTTTCTATTTTTTTACGCGAAAATGGTTTGTCGGACGAAAAAAATCAAGAAGTCAAATTGTTGCAAAAATAAATGAGGATTTCAAAAATTATTTTTATTCTCGGAAAATATTTTTTTCGAAAAATCTCCAGGATACATACCATACGTACGCCACTGGTAGAGATATCGAAAAAATTTCTGCATCGAAAAATGCCTATTGCTGCTTAATAGGTGTATGTCAAATTTGATGAAAATATCTAGAACGGTATTGAAGGTATTATAAGAAAGCAATTTTTTTCTTAAAATTTTAACACCCTATAGGTCGAAAGTTAAGAGGTTTAGGGCATTTTTGTTCATATGAACTTTTATTCCCAAAATGAGCTAGGGAACCATATCCTTTATTTTCAGTCATCAATTAAATTACACCCTGTATATTTTATTATTTTCTTTGAATCTTTCTTTGTTTTTGATTTTTTTAGGTAATTTCGGAAGTAATATGTGATAAAACTGTTATTCTGTAATTGGGCTGAAGCCTGTTGTTTTAGCAGTATAAATAAATGAAATGAAATGAAATTTTTCTTGAAAAAATTGTTTTCCAGAACAAGCTACAGATGGCACCCTTGCTTCAGAGAATTGGGCGCTCAATATGGAGATATGCGACCTCGTGAATGAAACAGAAGAAGGTCCCAGAGATGCCATAAAAGCGATCAGGAAGAGGCTGACTCAGAACGCTGGGAAAAATTATACCGTCGTCATGTACGCCCTGATCATACTGGAAACATGCGTGAAAAACTGCGGAAAGCGCTTCCACATTCTGGTTTGCAACAAAGAGTTTATATTGGAATTGGTGAGTTCAAAATACAGTGTGTCCCACTTACCATGCTCACCATGGGTATCTTTTAAACGGTGAGAGATACGAGGTCCGTTAAATGACACCAAATGTGGAGTTTGTCAAGGCCAACTATAATGTGAAAAAAAAATTCTGATAAAATCTATTCGTTTTTGTTTTATACGCAAAAAACAGATTTTGATCATTTTCATGTCTCCTCCATAACTTCTTTATATATGAAAATATTCAAATAGGAATTTCACATTCTCATGGCAGTTTTTCAAAGTGATTTCGAAAAAAATATGAAATTTATACCAACTCTTCTAGAATTTGAGATATCAGCACCAACTTTAGTTTTTCAAATGTAGGTCATAGCTCACTATGACTTAGTTACAAATAACTTTTTTTTCTCTTCCAGATGATATGTCGCAGTAATAGTTTTGTGTTGATAACAACGGAGTTATCGTCATTTATACAAAAACAAAAAATCATTCGGAAGCCGCCATCTTGAATTTATGAATTTTAACAAAAATATCATGATCTCCGACCTCAAAAACCCCCACTTACCAATTTTGAATGGAATCGGACCAAATCTTGTCCGCCATCTTGGAGCAGCCATTTTTTTTTATTTCAACAAAAATTCCATAATGTATTGTCACCGAAATTATGAACACCTGTCAAATTTCAAGTTAATCGGAGTTATGGAATTTTTGTTGAAATTGAAAAAAATGGCTGCTCCAAGATGGCGGACAAGATTTGGTCCGATTCCATTCAAAATTGGTAAGTGGGGGTTTTTGAGGTCGGAGATCATGATTTTTTTGTTAAAATTTATAAATTCAAGATGGCGGCTTCCAAATAATTTTTTGTTATTGTATAAATGACGATAACTCCGTTGTAATCAACACAAAACTATTACTGCGACATATCATCTGGAAGAGAAAAAAAAGTTATTTGTAACTAAGTCATAGTGAGCTATGACCTACATTTGAAAAACTAAAGTTGGTGCTGATATCTCAAATTCTAGAAGAGTTGGTATAAATTTCATATTTTTTTCGTAATCACTTTGAAAAGCTGCCATGAGAATGTGAAATTCATATTTGAATTTTTTCATTATAAATAATGAAGTTACGGAGGAGACATGAAAATGATCAAAATCTGTTTTCTGCGTATGAAACAAAAACGAATAGATTTTATCAAAATATTTTTTCACATTATAGTTGGCCTTAACAAACTCCACATTTGGTGTCATTTAACCGACCTCGTATCTCTCACCGTTAAAAAGATACCCATGGTGAGCATGGTAAGTGGGACACACTGTATAAATCAATGACATTAATTCATTTTTTATTCATTCTAAACTCCTCACCAGATGCAGTGGGACAGCCAAAAAATTGTCTAATTTTGATAAGGTATAGCTTGAACATTTTTTGGCCGATGTTGGATATTCAACCAAAGGTAGAAAGCGTTATCCTTGGGCTATGCGTCATTGGCGTCGAGACAAACTCGAAAATAATTTCCAGCAATTTCTCTTGGCTACTTTTATCATGATTTTTTTTTCTCAAATCTATACGACCAATATCTCATGAGATATGGCCGCAAAAACTAGGATAGCAATGAAAATAACAATATTTTTCAGGTTAAACTCATAGGCCCCAAAAACGACCCCCCCACGGCCGTTCAGGAGAAGGTCCTCAGCCTCATCCAGTCATGGGCCACAGCTTTCCAGTCGCAACCGGAAATGTCCGGAGTGCTGTCCGTGTACCAGGACCTGCTGACCAAAGGCATCGAATTTCCAGCCACCGATCTGGATTCTCTGGCTCCCATTCACACTCCAAAAAAGGTATTTTATTCGGTGCACTAATATCCTGAACTGAAATGGGAAATTTCCTATATTGTGGTTTTTATCTCACTGTGTCTCACATATGTCAATGTATTCAGTCAATTCCATTTTATTGAATGCTTTAGACGCCGCATTCAAATTAGCGAAACTAAAGTCACTAACAAATACATTGAACAATGGCCAATATTTGTGTTCTTCGCAATAGTTTCTGAATTTTATAAATAAATCAAAAATTGCGTATGTATCATGTTTGAAAAGATCTTATTAATAATTAGGAAACTCTTATCTCAGGGACGATATATGAGTTTTGATAAATACCCTTTAATCATTAAATTCAGCATGGATTTTAACAAATAAACTGTGAAACTTATAACCCTAAACCTAACTAAATCCTAAATCCTACTAATAATACTAGAAACGATAATAAATATCATCCGGTCACACTCCTTCAAAATGTTCACAAAGTCTGTCGACTCACTCCTACCGCAGCCTTGACTATGATGATGATTCTCTAGAATCGTTGCCGCTATCACGGCCTGGTACCAAGCTTTTCTGTTCTTCTCGAAACTGAGTTGGTATAGCTTCACCACTAGCCTTTACAAACCCTTTTTATACTATAACGAGTTTATTATAGGTAATATTCAACTCGTTTTGGTTATAACTGGATCACACTTTTACAGCGTGCCATCAGGAACCGAATGAATCCGTCTACCTCCTCGTTCCACCGGTCCACCGCCAAACTTGTCCCCTCTCCCCCGGTCTCTTCCTTCTCTTCCCTCTCCGTTCTTCCAACGTTCTGGAACATTTTACTCTCCACCGCGCTCAGTCTCTATTTCGCGCGCACTTATTTTATTACCCATAGGCGGGTTTACCGGGCGCACTACATGTTGACCAGAAATCATTTCCAAAATTGGACACGAACTATTTTCTGGCAAACTCATTACTCCACAATAATATAAAATCTTATTCTTGCTTTCTTTGAATCGAACTACAGTACCAGTCGCATCAAAATGCAGTGTGGACAATGCAGATGTTTTTCTTACTCTCATTTGTTCCTCACTAAATACTTTGATATTGACCGGTAAACATATCTGCTGAACGAATTCAAGGTGCCTCCTTTTGTATAAAAATAAATCCATCATTTCATCTTTATGACTGTGAACGGATTTCTTTGCATTGCTGCTTATTTCTCGCAAACTGGATTCCGATTTTATATCCTGCAAGTTACCCATGGTAATAGCTAATTTATCAGCCTAAGGATTGCCTTATCACAAGGGGCCTCGACGACTCATCGGAATTCGTAATCATCGTGTGATAAAAAGACTGAAGCAGGTTCAGTCGATTAATATCATGGAATGAATCACTTGTCGATGTTGTATTTTTATAAACGGTCATCTTTGTACAAGCCGTCCTGAGTGAATAAAAATGTGTTTGAATGTTGAAATTGTGTCTATCTACGATGTCTCCTTTTGGAGTCTTTTAATACGTATTTTTTCTTTTATTCATAGGATCATAATTCACTTCAGCAAAAAAATAAATAAAAGAGGAACTTGGCTCCACCATTCCTATGACGTACTTTCTGAAAATCTACATTCACACAGAGTTAAAATTCCATTCTCTGTGCCAGTACGACGTTGCCGACATCATCAATATGTCTAGATTTCCGGAAATTGTTCTTTGAATGCATAATAACTATATCATAACAGCAATAGGATATAATAGGTTCTTCAATCCTATTTTGTCAAGTATTATGAATGAATCCCATAAATCTCTCATTGGCTGAATGAAGTTGATTACTAATGAAGATAAATTATGATATTTTGCAGTAGGATCTACAATTTTTCACTATAGTTATATTACAATATGTTTTTGACAACTTGTCAGTTATTTTTTTGCTAATGAGTTCGTTCCTTAATAAAACGGATCTTGCAACAGCGTCTACACCACTCAAAATACTGACAGGCATAACAAGAGGAAGGAGCCATGGGTGTCGGCTTCATTCTATTCTGACTGATGATGGCAGGAAGTTAGGAAGGATAGTATCATTGAATGTAGCCGATAGTGATTCATTGATTCAATGATATTTTCGTTTAGGATCGAGCTTTATTCTAGATATTTCAATGCCTAAATAACATAACCATAACCCCGGCAATCCGGTCCGGCAAAACACCCGATCCGATGCATCCCTAATAAAGATCGAATTTTCAATTTCCTGACTTGGAAAATACTAATGAAAATTTGTTAGTATATTTCTCGCCTAGTTCAGGATATTTCATAGTTGACTGTAGATGTAGATGACGTATGGCAGTGATGTCAACATTATATTACACACACTTATCTAAATAATTAAAGCTAAGTTGACACTGCAACAATACCTATGTCTGCCATGTAACTTCTCGCATGTACCTCATTCTAGAGCGTGACGGAAACTCCGATATCGGAAGCCCAGATAGCCGTCGAAGCGTCCCCGCCGCAACACCTCCTACCGGCTCTGTCCACCGGAGGCGGTCCAGGCGGTCAGCTGACACCCGAGCAGCGCTCCAAGCTGCAATCCGAGCTGGACGTCGTGCAGAGCAACATGGCCGTGTTGGGGGAGATGCTGTACGAGGTGAAGCCGGGCGAGGAGCAGCCCGACGAATTGGAGTTGTTGCAGGTAATGGGGATGATTCAGGGTGTTTGATATCCAGTATCCTTTGTCTGTCCTGTCTATGTTATGTCTCTGTTCTGTCTCTGTTCTGTCTCTGTTCTGTCTCTGTTCTGTCTCTGTCCTGTCTCTGTTCTGTCTCTGTCCTGTCTCTGTTCTGTCTCTGTTCTGTCTCTGTTCTGTCTCTGTTCTGTCTCTGTTCTGTCTCTGTCCTGTCTCTGTCCTGTCTCTGTCCTGTCTCTGTCCTGTCTCTATCCTGTCTTTATCCTGTCTTTGTTCTACCTTTGTCATGTCTTTATCCTGTCTTTATCCTGCCTTTGTCCTGTCTTTATCCCGTCTGTATCATGTATTTCTCCTGCCTTGTGTCGATAATGAATCCTTGTCTCATCGATTCGGGTACTATTTATATTCGGAATCGATGCTAGGTTCGCAATTTTCCACAATGGGAACGGTCGTTACCTTTCGATACCGCTTACCTAGGTATTATCGCCGCGGTAAGCGATTTCTTTGCAAATTATAAAGGAAATGATGTCTATGAACTCCGCTGGCCTGATCGAACTACAATGTACTGAATGTTTTAATTTGGAAAAGTTAATGATAAAAGATCTTGAAACGAACGAGGGTTTGAGTGTTGTTAATTCATAGGTGTTAAATATTGAAATGATTTACCATCCTGTATTTTTTTGTTATTGGAGAGTGAGAGTGATGGATGTCATTAGAATTTTTTGAATGATTGTCAGATTGATGTCAGTAATCTGAATAAAAGTTTTTGATCGTTTATCGATATAATTATTAGTTACAATCTTCTAAGATATTATATTGTGGATTGTAACAGTGGTCCTTCGAGCCGGATAAGAATCATTAGGAGATATGTCTTTGCCAGAACGTTCGAAAAATTCAAGGATTAGGAGAGGAGTACAAGGAGCAATTTTGGTATCCCTCCTGCAAGGTATGGAGCTGACGAAGACGTATCGAGAAAAAATTCTAATGACATCCATCAATAGGCATTTATACTTCTTGACAATATCGTGACAATATGTTTGTCTGTATGCTTAGAGAGTACAAATTGGCCTTTACCAAAATAGCTAATCTGTTTGTACTCAATCCTGTGTGCTCGAACCCGACTAGCTCTCGAACAATTCCGTTCGGTTTCCTTCCAGGAATTGTACTCGGTGTGTCGCAGCATGCAGGACCGTCTCGTCGACCTCATCAGCAGACTGTCCAACGACGCTTTGTGCGAGGAACTGTTGCGCATCAACGACGACCTCAACAACCTCTTTTTGCGGTACTCGCGCTGGGAGAAGAACCGGCCGACGGCAGAGGGGATGGAGGGAAAAGGGGTAGGGTTGGAGGGCAAGGGGCGGCCCTCGGCGTCTGCGGTGCTCGCCAGGGCTGTGCCGCCGCCCCAGCAGCCGTACGGCAAGCCGAAGTTGGAGAGCGATGACAGCTTGATCGATTTCGAGGATGATGTGGGCGACAAGTTCGGGAAGATGAGTGAGTAGTTTTTTGGTGGTGTTTGGTTTTTTCGTGCTATTTTTTGTTCGTACGTTGAGGTATTTTCTAACTCTTGAATATTTGACATTGATCTGTTTCAGTTTGATTTACTCTAAGTTGCAATATATTATATTGATCTGGGGGGGGTACTGCAGCAAAATCTGTTTCCTTCTTTTCACTAAATATGGATTAATCTCAAGAAAATCATATTTATAGTTGAATTATATATAAATTGTCCAATATGATGAAAAAAGAAGGGAAATTTGTTCTAAATGCCATCCAGAAGACAGGTGAAAAAGAAGGTGAAATTTGGAACTTTTTAGTCAAATATCTTCATGATAAATATCATGATAAATGCAGTTTTACCTTTTTAAGTAGAGTGTTTGTAGTTCATGTTAAGTGATAGTTGCAATTTGATCATTGAAATGAATTCTGCATTCATTGCCACGAGGCAAATGACCGTTTTCAGAAAGAAATTTGATAATGAGAATTGAAAATGCCTGTTTATTATGAACATTCAAGAAAATTTCCTCGAATTCAGAGATGATTTTGTTGACTATAATATACGAATACAAAACTAACTGCACAATCAAAGCTTTTCTATTTTTCCTCTACTTATACTTTTTATGAGAGAGTAATTGTCTTCTATTATTAATTCATCATTATAAATTAAGCTCTGTTTACTACTGAACTTGAATGGAGTAAAATCCTCGCGGTGAATTGCATATACCCACATTTTCGATAGCTCCTCGTCCAACGGGAAACTAAAAACATGAACTTTTGAACCACCCACATAATTCCCCCGACAAAAGGGAACACAACACTTGAAAGGCATTGTTATTTCGCCGATCACAACACAAAATATTTCACAAAACAGTAATTTTTCCGCCAATTATTTTGATGAATAAACAACAAAAGAATTCGGGACCGTTTCAAAAACATACGTGAATCACCGATGAATTAACACGAACTGACGCGTTAGTCGACAAGCGATAAAATAAAACACTGGCCTCTCTTGGTGACGTCACGAGATGTTTACGTCAGAGTCTGCTGGCCTTGTTGTATCGGTGGTAACGTGTAAATACCGAAAGTGACTAATGAAAACAATAGTTATGTTATTTTGGGCGTTCTATTTCAGGTGTGAATAATGCTTCAGGTGACATTTTTTCCAATAAACTCAGCCTTGGTAGGAATGATGATGAGTTTGACATGTTTGCACAGTCCAGAAATGTCACTTATGAAAGTTCAAAACAGAGGTGAGTCCTTTATCTTATGATGTTGGTTGTTCTGCAATCTAAAGGACCCCACACGAAAACACGGTAAATTGGCTCTTAGTCGAATTGGCTGAAATTTTACTGTGTTGTTGTGGGATGGCTCATTAGAAAAATATGTGAGTTTGAAAAGTTTTGTATGTTTAGTTTCTGAGATATAAGCCGACAAAGTTCGTAAAAACGTCGTATCCGGGTAGGATTGACGAAGAAAAAAACTGTTTTTTTAGTATAAATAAGACAAAATAAGCTATAAAATCGGAACTCAAATACATGTCTAGTTATGATCACATAAACTATAGTAAATGAGGGTGAATACGAGGCACGGTCAAAAAAATCATTTTTCGGAAAAAAAAATTCGAGCACGAGCACTATTCCAAAACCAACAAGTTATATTTTTATGAGACATTATAGTTTTAGTCTATTGTTAGGCTTCGAAAACGTATTTTGATTCTTGATAACTATCTCTGTTCAAAATATGAATTATTTGAATTTTGTCTTATACCCCTTTTGGAAAACAATTGACAGCTTGTTTTTGATCACAAAAAGGGGACTGATTTATACTGTCGATTGATTGAAAGCTGAGGTAACTCACTAGCGAATTCAGTTGTTCAATATTGCTTTTCATTAAGATGCAATAAGGTGTGTTAGATTTTGTTGAAGATTATTTAAAATGTTTCAATTGAATATATCGAAAACAGTTCCGTCAATTTGTATCTCATTTTACTCACACTATTTTGAATATGTTGACCATCATATGCAAAAAGTTTTTAAATTTTTCATGTTTCGTTTCTTATGATTACCTCGGATATTTTTTTTATCGCTTGAAGCGCACGAAAGGAAATCCCTATAATGTTCAGAGCACATAAAAAATTGAAAAACTTTTTGCTTATGATAGTCAACATATTCAAAATAGTGTGAGTAAAATGAGATCATATAGGTGGGAAAATTATTTTTTTCCTGATTGCCCTAAAAATCCCAAAAAATTCATAGACACTAATTCAGACCCAAAACGAAAGAATTTGATGTCAGATTCGATAGATAACTCTCCCTTTAGATTTTCAAAATCAGTGGTTCAAGCAATGCAGTAGGCTCATATAGGTGGAAAAAATATTTTTTTCCTGATTGCCCTAAAAATCCCAAAAAATTCATAGACACTAATTCAGACCTAAAACGAAAGAATTTGATGTCAGATTTGATAGATAACTCTTTCTTTAGATTTTCAAAATCAGCGGTTCAAGCAATGCAGGCTCATATAGGTAGAAAAAATATTTTTTTCCTGATTGCCCTAAAAATCCCAAAAAATTCATAGACACTAATTCAGACCCAAAACGAAAGAATTCGATGTCAGATTCGATAGATAACTCTCCCTGTGGATTTTCAAAATCAGCGGTTCAAGCAATGCAGTAGGCTCATATAGGTGGAAAAAATATTTTTTTCCTGATTGCCCAAAAAATCCCAAAAAATTCATAGACACTGATTCAGACCCAAAACCGAAGAATTTGATGTCAGATTCGATAGATAACTCTCCCTGTGGATTTTCAAAATCAGCGGTTCAAGCAATGCAGTAGGCTCATATAGGTGGAAAAATTATTTTTTTCCTGATTGCCCAAAAAATCCCAAAAAATTCATAGACACTAATTCACACCCAAAACGAAAGAATTTGATGTCAGATTTGATAGATAACTCTCCCTGTAGATTTTCAAAATCATCGGTTCAAGCAATGCAGTAGGCTCATATAGGTGGAAAAAATATTTTTTTCCTGATTGTCCTAAAAATCCCAAAAAATTCATAGACACTAATTCATACCCAAAACGAAAGAATTTGATGTCAGATTTGATAGATAACTCTCCCTTTAGATTTTCAAAATCAGCGGTTCAAGCAATGCAGTAGGCTCATATAGGTGGAAAAAATATTTTTTTCCTGATTGCCCTAAAAATCGCAAAAAATTCATAGACACTAATTCAGACCCAAAATCAGAGAATTTGATGTCAGATTTGATAGATAACTCTCCCTTTAGATTTTCAAAATCAGCGGTTCAAGCAATGCAGTAAGGCTCATATAGGTGGAAAAAATATGTTTTTCCTGATTGCCCTAAAAATCCCAAAAAATTCATAGACACTAATTCACACCCAAAACGAAAGAATTTGATGTCAGATTTGATAGATAACTCTCCCTTTAGATTTTCAAAATCAGCGGTTCAAGCAATGCAGTAGGCTCATATAGGTGGAAAAATTATTTTTTTCCTGATTGCCCTAAAAATCCCAAAAAATTCATAGACACTAATTCAGACCCAAAACCAGAGAATTTGATGTCAGATTTGATAGATAACTCTCCCTTTAGATTTTCAAAATCAGCGGTTCAAGCAATGCAGTAAGGCTCATATAGGTGGAAAAAATATGTTTTTCCTGATTGCCCTAAAAATCCCAAAAAATTCATAGACACTAATTCACACCCAAAACGAAAGAATTTGATGTCAGATTTGATAGATAACTCTCCCTTTAGATTTTCAAAATCAGCGGTTCAAGCAATGCAGTAGGCGCATATAGGTGGAAAAAATATTTTTTTCCTGATTGCCCTAAAAATCCCATAAAATAAATAGACACTAATTCAGACCCCAAACGAAAGAATTTGATGTCAGATTTGATATATAACTCTCCATTTACATTTTCAAAATCAGCGGTTCAAGCAATGCAGTAGGCGCATATAGGTGGAAAAAATATTTTTTTCCTGATTGCCCTAAAAATCCCAAAAAATTCATAGACACTAATTCAGACCCAAAACGAAAGAATTTGATGTCAGATTTGATATATAACTCTCCCTTTAGATTTTCAAAATCAGTGGTTCAAGCAATGCAGTAGGCGCATATAGGTGGAGAAAATATTTTTTTCCTGATTGCCCTAAAAATCCCAAAAAATTCATAGACACTAATTCAGACCCAAAACGAAAGAATTTGATGTCAGATTTGATATATAACTCTCCCTTCAGATTTTCAAAATCAGCGGTTCAAGCAATGCAGTAGGCGCATATAGGTGGAAAAAATATTTTTTTCCTGATTGCCCTAAAAATCCCAAAAAATTCATAGACACTAATTCAGACCCAAAACGAAAGAATTTGATGTCAGATTTGATATATAACTCTCCCTTTAGATTTTCAAAATCAGCTGTTCAAGCAATGCAGTAGGCGTATATAGGTGGAAAAAATATTTTTTTCCTGATTGCCCTAAAAATCCCAAAAAATTCATAGACACTAATTCAGACCCAAAACGAAAGGATTTGATGTCAGATTTGATATATAACTCTCCCTTCAGATTTTCAAAATCAGCGGTTCAAGCAATGCAGTAGGCGCATATAGGTGGAAAAATGTTTTTTTCCTGATTGCCCTAAAAATCCCAAAAAATTCATAGAAACTAATTCAGACCCAAAACGAAAGAATTTGATGTCAGATTTGATATATAACTCTCCCTTTAGATTTTCAAAATCAGCGGTTCAAGCAATGCAGTAGGCGCATATAGGTGGAAAAAATATTTTTTTCCTCATTGCCCTAAAAATCCCAAAAAATTCATAGACACTAATTGAGACCCAAAACGAAAGAATTTGATGTCAGATTTGATATATAACTCTCCCTTTAGATTTTCAAAATCAGCGGTTCAAGCAATGCAGTAGGCTCATATAGGTGGAAAAAATATTTTTTTCCTGATTGCCCTAAAAATCCCATAAAATAAATAGACACTAATTCAGACCCAAAACGAAAGAATTTGATGTCAGATTTGATATATAACTCTCCCTTTAGATTTTCAAAATCAGCGGTTCAAGCAATGCAGTATAGGTTCATATAGGTGGAAAAATTATTTTTTTGCTGATTGCCCTAAAAATCCCAAAAAATTCATAGACACTAATTCACACCCAAAACGAGAGAATTTGATGTCAGATTTGATAGATAACTCTCCCTGTAGATTTTCAAAATCAGCGGTTCAAGCAATGCAGTAGGCTCATATAGGTGGAAAAAATATTTTTTTCCTGATTGCCCTAAAAATCCCATAAAATAAATTGACACTAATTCAGACCCAAAACGAAAGAATTTGATGTCAGATTTGATATATAACTCTCCCTTTAGATTTTCAAAATCAGCGGTTCAAGCAATGCAGTAGGCGCATATAGGTGGAAAAAATATTTTTTTCCTGATTGGCCTAAAAATCCCATAAAATAAATAGACACTAATTCAGACTCAAAACGAAAGAATTTGATGTCAGATTTGATATATAACTCTCCCTTTAGATTTTCAAAATCAGCGGTTCAAGCAATGCAGTAGGCTCATATAGGTGGAAAAAATATTTTTTTCCTGATTGCCCTAAAAATCCCATAAAATAAATTGACACTAATTCAGACCCAAAACGAAAGAATTTGATGTCAGATTTGATATATAACTCTCCCTTTAGATTTTCAAAATCAGCGGTTCAAGCAATGCAGTAGGCTCATATAGGTGGAAAAAATATTTTTTTCCTGATTGCCCTAAAAATCCCATAAAATAAATTGACACTAATTCAGACCCAAAACGAAAGAATTTGATGTCAGATTTGATATATAACTCTCCCTTTAGATTTTCAAAATCAGCGGTTCAAGCAATGCAGTAGGCTCATATAGGTGGAAAAAATATTTTTTTCCTGATTGCCCTAAAAATCCCATAAAATAAATTGACACTAATTCAGACCCAAAACGAAAGAATTTGATGTCAGATTTGATATATAACTCTCCCTTTAGATTTTCAAAATCAGCGGTTCAAGCAATGCAGTAGGCTCATATAGGTGGAAAAAATATTTTTTTCCTGATTGCCCTAAAAATCCCATAAAATAAATTGACACTAATTCAGACCCAAAACGAAAGAATTTGATGTCAGATTTGATATATAACTCTCCCTTTAGATTTTCAAAATCAGCGGTTCAAGCAATGCAGTAGGCTCATATAGGTGGAAAAAATATTTTTTTCCTGATTGCCCTAAAAATCCCATAAAATAAATTGACACTAATTCAGACCCAAAACGAAAGAATTTGATGTCAGATTTGATATATAACTCTCCCTTTAGATTTTCAAAATCAGCGGTTCAAGCAATGCAGTAGGCGCATATAGGTGGAAAAAATATTTTTTTCCTGATTGCCCTAAAAATCCCAAAAAATTCATAGACACTAATTCAGACCCAAAACGAAAGAATTTGATGTCAGATTTGATATATAACTCTCCCTTTAGATTTTCAAAATCAGCGGTTCAAGCAATGCAGTAGGCTCATATAGGTGGAAAAAATATTTTTTTCCTAATTGCCCTAAAAATCCCATAAAATAAATAGACACTAATTCAGACCCAAAACGAAAGAATTTGATGTCAGATTTGATATATAACTCTCCCTTTAGATTTTCAAAATCAGCGGTTCAAGCAATGCAGTATAGGTTCATATAGGTGGAAAAATTATTTTTTTGCTGATTGCCCTAAAAATCCCAAAAAATCATAGACACTAATTCACACCCAAAACGAAAGAATTTGATGTCAGATTTGATAGATAATTCTCCCTGTAGATTCTCAAAATCATCGGTTCAAGCAATGCAGTAGGCTCATATAGGTGGAAAAATAATTTTTTCAATTCGACCGAGAGCCAATTTACCGTGTTTTCGTGCGGGGTCCATATCAAAATTCCATTTAATACTGCAATATTGAAAAAGGAAACATCATTCATGTTTTTTTTTTCAGTGGGAGCACTTACAAAGATAACCTCAATCCAGACCAAATTGCTGGGGGCTTGAGCACTTTGACTCAAAGAAAAGCAACTGTAAGTTAACTGAACTGTAGTATATTTCCTAATTTTTCTAAGTTTTTGTTGTTGTCTCTTGTCTCTGGGCTTTTCCATGTTTTCTATTCTGAAACGTTGCTTTTTGTGTGTTGTGCAGAATCCTGAAGACTTGGAAATTGATGAAATGGCCAGTTGGCTTGGAAAAACTGTGAGTACTTATTTGGTGTTTGGTTGGTAGACATTTTTCTTAGCGATGCATTCATTTATTTTTATGATTAATGAGAAAAACTCGCATTAGTGATGGTAATTTGCTTTAACAGACTTCTTATATCTTATATTCAGGTTCAGGATTGTTTTTTTTTCCTCGATTCAGAATTCCTCCACACCCTATATGATGAACCTAACATCATCGTGCATAATTTCACAAATATAATGAATGTGAAAATCACAAAATTCATTAGTAAATAAAATTAATATGAATGCCATGCATTTGGTATATTCAGAAAACTGCTTTTGTTTCCATTAATATGGTATGTTAAAGATTTTCATGTTTTGTTTCCTTATGTATGCGTTTGCATGTAAATTGTTTGGTTTTATCTGAAAAATAGTTGATTATATTAGTAATAATTGTTCAATGTGATAAATTCAATACCAGTTCAGTAGCCTCTATTATTGAGAAAGACAAGTGAAGTTAAATTATTGGTATGTGTACCAGTTTGTAGTGTTTTTGGAACCATTATATTAGTTCTCTCATTGTCGAAAATCGGATAAAAAATTGCAGTCACGTTTTTTATAAATGTTATTCTTAGACTGGTGTCGAAGAATCGGTGACCAGCAGCGACTTCGAGCGGTTTTTAGCCGAAAGAGCAGCCGCTGCGGAAACCCTTCCGACCATATCCTGTTCCAATGCGGCCTCTCCGAAGCCGAGCAAAGACAAGAAGGCGGACGCCTCTGCCTTGTTATAATTTAACGCCCTGTCTAAGAACGAATCTGACTATTGTGTTTAGTTTTGTTTTTGTCCGGAAAGATTACAACGCCCCCTATATCCGAAAAAACACTTTGCCAGGGTCGCTCCCTAAAAATATGTCTTTTACAACTTGTTGAATGTCATGGCGGCTACTGTCTGAATCAACAAGTACCTGTTTTTGTAACATGTATCGTTGACAAAGATCTGATAATAATTACTATTAGATCAGCACTTACTTTATAACAAAGTATGGTGAGAGAAATGCAACAACGCTGACCGCGGCTAACGTTACATCAACTCTTGAAATTTGATGAAAAAATACCAAGGAGTAATGGGCCAAGGCACAGGTCAGGTTTTGTTCAGTTTCTTAGATGGAATGAACAACTGGCAAGTTCCATTTCACATGGACCATTCAATTTCACGAGTTTCTGGGCAAGATCTTACCTAGGTAAGGAAGAATCCATTTTAAATCATTGAGACCAAACTTATCATCACCTAGTTAAACTTGGACCTGCATCTCATTCAATACTACAATTTGGGAAGTTATTTTCAATACATCTGATTGGGAACCTACTTGATGAAGATTTTTACTCTCTGTCTTATGGACATGTTTGTGAGAGATAAAAATCCCATATATCACTGATAAGAATGATTTTTTTGGAAGTTTCAAGCTCATCAAGATCCGGTTTGAGAGAGAATGTCAATTCTCAATTTCAGAGGATTTTCATTTTTCTTGCTCGTCTTTTGGATGTTCAACAGATATAATTCGATGTTCGACGTGGCAAATAGTCAGGAAAGTAGTTGTTTTCTGTTGAATATTGAGAATGTGCATATACATATTTTTATCTGAAGGAGATTGCAAATTCTTAACTTCAGGGGATTTTGTTTTCAAATTCTCATCGTGTGTGTTCAATAGATATAATTCAATGTTCGTCGTGGCATATAGCCAGGGAAGTAATTGTTTTCTGTTGAAAAAACCGAAAAAGAATTGATATTTTCATCATATAGAGAATACGAATTCTCAATGTATTCCTTTATATACAGGGTGTTGAAAAAAACCTGACCATGCTAGGGTAAGTAGAACATTGCAAAATAAGTTAGGTTTACTCAGTGAAAAAATTCCGCAACGGCATCCGTTATCATGATACCAGGTGAAAAATGATTTTTTAACACATTTTTCAAGATTATGTCGAAACTACTGGCAAAATTGTGATGACATTTTTTATGGATGTTTCTTGGAATCTGACACATCGCATGCATTCGTTTTTAAATCTGACTCTCATAGAAGGCGCTAGTTACACGGTTCGTACCGAGTAGTTTTGAAAATAACTTTTTTGAGGTTAGATTTTCTCAATCCAAATTGGATGTGAACTTGAACATCATTCAATTCCACACCAAATAGGTACTCTTGGTAAAACTCGACACTGTGTTCCGTTTTCGGAATATTTCGATTTGAAAATGATGAAGTGGTAAATAACTGTTGCTGGTATAAAGCTATGTATTAGAGTGAGTATTATGAAAAATTATCACCTATTTATTGAAAACCGAAAACAACAATACATGTCTGATGCAAAACTCATTGATTTGACACTGAATCACAAGAATAACATCGAAACAGATTTGACTAAGAACATGGATTACACAGTTTTGTTGTATCTTGAGCAGAAAGTCTATTCTACATAGGTAAATTCACGTCGAGAGTTGTGAGACATAATCGAACATCACTCAAATGACCTAACAGCTGATCCTCAACTGTTTATAAGAATAATTCATTCTTAAGAAAAGAATATAGAATCGTGTATTCCTCGTAACGTCGGACATTTTGAACACTTACTCTAACTGATTCAATATTTCATGTTTATAGTAAAATATATCATAATTTTCTACTTATGATTCTTTGTTCCATCAATATCTTCAGCACAAGAATAATTTTATTGTTTTTGAACCTGAATAAATAGGTAATTGAACTCAATAAAATTTATTTTATGCCAGCATCATTACTACTCCATTATTTTCAAATCGAATTATTCCGAAAACGGAACCTAGTATCGCGTTTCACCAAGAGTACCTTTTTGGTGTAAAATTGAATGATGTTCAAGTTCATATCATATTTGGATTGAAAAATCTAACCTCAAAACAGTCATGTTCAAACTACTCGGTACGAACCGTGTAACTAGCGCCCTCTATGAGAGTCAGATATAAAAACAAATTCGTGCGATGTGTCAGATTTCAAGAAATATCCATACAACGTTGTTAGTAGTTTCGGAATAATCGTGAAAAATGTGTAAAAAAATAATTTTTTCAACACCTTGTATCATGAAAACGGATGTCGTTACGACATTTCTTCACTGAGCAAACCCAACTTATTTTGCAGTGTTCTGCCTACCAGCAAGGGGGTCAGGTTTTTTTGAAACACCCTGTATATATCCATTTTTTCATGTTCATAATTTATCTGAGAATATTCCTTTTCAATAGGTACTTTCACGCAATCAAGGGGTTCCAACTTGAATGATGGAAACTTGTTATTTTTATAGATCTTCAATCACAGATTCGCGATTAGGTTTTTCAATTCAGAATTTCTTTCCACGTCCTGTATACTAAATATCAATTTGTCATACATTCAAAAATCAAATAAATAAGCCTATATTCAGTGATTAATTAAAAAAAAATAACTTTTGACATGTAGCGAATGTATCAAAGCAAAACTTAACGCCCAAGGCGACTCTCGAAATAAAATATTATTAAAAGTTTGTCCCATATTATGATGCCCACCTTATGAATGACACTGAATATCGAACGTTTTGTTCGATGTAGCCACTAAACGAATACTTGTATGCCTTGATATAAACGTGCTTCTCATTTCCTTGCTCCACAAATATCACATTTGTCATCAGTCAGGGTTCCTACGTATTCGCGGTCTAAGGCAAGGGCAGATCTAATAAATTAGGTACACATATATTGTCAGATCTTTGATCGTTGATAATGAGACTTATGAATCTCTTTCTTCCTTGTCAAGCTGTGAAACTATACAAGGTGTTTTGAAATAAGTGCACATATTTAGCACATCAATATGATACAGTCTAAGAAATATTCCCATGATATCAGATTTTTTCAAATTCTTCTAACTTGGAATTTCATCCTAAAAATTGAAGAAAGTACGAGAAAAAAATCAATTACGCCACTTTAAAACAATTTACATGATTGAATTCCGCGTGATTGTGCCTACCGCATGGAAATTTGAACAGAGGTGACGTCAGATTTGCTACAGTATAGAACTTTTGGTGGGAAAAAAGGGGTCTAACCCCAAATTTTATTTTGATCCCAAAATTTATTTATTAGTGTGCTATTCGATAGTACTCGTCGAGCTTTCTCAGTGTTTGAAATATTTGCACTTATTTCAATGCCACCCTGTATAAATAATTAAGGTAGTCTTTTGACTAGATCCTCGATCTGTATTTTCTTCTAGACATTTCACAACCAATTTCAAACAGTTTATCTGCAGTAGTGGAGTCGAATTCATCAAAAAATCACCCACAACATTTAGTCTATATTGACATGTAAAATATGAAGCAATGCTTTGGAAATTGAAATTATGATACTATTGTTGCGGACATATACATTTTTTTCATAAAGAGGTTATGAAATGTTGATTTTATGAGGGTGCTCTGGTCTTGAGAGGGTCACACTAAATCAGTAGCATTTCAAAATAACCATTGAATCATCCTATTTACATAAAAAGTTTGTTTTGTATTGAATGGCATTGATAACTGACTCGACTCTGGTATCGAATTTTTCTGATATGTTCTGTGATATATGAACCAAAATATGTATTATCAATATTAACTTTATTATTAATTTATATTATTCATATCATTAGGTACTATTATTATTATAATGTCCGATACGATATATGATGAGCATAATACAATGTTCAGTTTGTTGTTGAATCTAACCTTTTAGTATTCAACTAATCTAACTGAATTATTTATAGTTTTTGTTTATTGTTGATAATTCAAATTTTATAGGTTGCTTTTGTTTGTTGATGTCTGATTTTCTTTTTATTCAACTTGTTTTTTACAGTGTGTTATATTAATAATTGGACATATACCAGGTTGTCCCGAAATTATCCTGCCAAACTTCACCAGCGGCTTCTTCTCAAAAATTGAAAGAAAAGTGTCAATGAACATATGACGATAGAAATGTGTCGTAAGGGAGCTATGGCCTCCTGAAATGGGGCTTCTGAAGATTATATTTCTCGAGTATTTCCGAAACTCCATGTGATGAAAAGATGCAATTTGATACAAAAACTAAACTTTCCATGCCCAATGCAGTGAAAATAAAATCATTTCAAAATTTCACCGAGGATTGTTTAATACAGGGTGGGACTACTTCAAATATTGCTCAAAAATTTTTGTGTGCATATTTTTCGACAATCTTATCTCGGATTATGGAACGATCAGATGTATCGTTATCGAGTAAAAGCGATTTAATAATATTGTTACATCTCAGATATTATGCATAACATTGCAATGAGTCGTAGTGGAAACGGAAAAAAATTGCACAAAAATCAAAGTAGTTTTTTATCATAAATTTCCATTTTTTGCACTTTTATGATTTGAAAATTGGCAACGTTATGCTTAAGATGTGATTGTATGAATATTTTTAAATCTATTTTACTCGAAAATGATACTTCTGATCGATGCGGATCAAGAGCAACTTTATCTGTGGAACAGTGTGAATTTTCATAATCCGTGATTAAATGGTCGAAAAATATGCAAGCAACAAAGTTTGAGCTATATTTAATGTAATCCCACCTTGTATTATACACTCCTGAATGAAAATTTGAAATGATTTTATGTTCACCACATTGTGGGCATGGAAAGTTTAGTTCTTGTACCAAATTGCATCATTTTATCACGTGGCGTTTCGGAAATATTCAAGAAATATCATCTTCAGGAGCGTAGCTCCCTTAGGAGATATTTTTCTACTCATGTTTTT